CATCGTCGCTGCGTTGCATCAAACAATTATTTCAACCTACTAGACCTTGCTTATTGCTTAAGTCGTAGTAGCTACCATGACATGGTACTGGATTCTGTACTATGAAGCATTGCAAACAGCATAAGTGGTTGCCTCAAAATTATTTACCTTACCTATTGTATCATCTTGACTGATTATGTTATTTCTCTCACAATGATCAATAATATCACTTCAATTAGTTTCAGTAAATGCAGTTAGGCCGTTGTACAGTATAAACTAACAGGTCTCTAGCAAGTTAAACAACGAAGTTTAGATTGTTGGACAAAAACTAGCGTGACCAGGATAAGATAAACAGAGAAGTAAGTTTGTTTTGTATATAAACCAACTTCAGTAACTCTGGGCCACCGTATGGCAACAGACTCGTCAAAAACCAAGACTGACAATGACCATTCAATTGCACCTATGTTGGTCATACTAACGATGCAGAAAATTGACAAAATAGACTGCTCTAAGATTTAAGAGCGCTTTGCTAAAGGCAAATCCATTATGGCTGCCTTTTTTAAAAGAGATTGATTCCAATTGGCGTGCTGCTAGGCTGAATCCTTTATCGGGGTTCCTTGCCACATGGAAGCGTATAACATCAAACTGCTACATACTCAAACTTTAATTGGCAATATGGCCTGCTGTACACTGTTTTAGTGAAGCTGATTACGTTTGTATGAAAGATACTTAGGTTTACCTTCCCCAGTGTAGACGCAGGACAAGTTTATGGAGTCTACAGAGATTCAGGAATACATACCGAGTTGTTTAAACAACCAGTAATGTTTGCAGCGCGATATCACACAATGCTCAGTGTCAAACAGCTCTAAGAAAACCAATCTGTGTGCACCGGTAATGCAAGGAAAATAATTTCATCACTTACCAAAAGTCATTTAAATAGGCACATTGTAATGCCACGACCTTTTGGTATAAGGAGATTAGATGACAGACAACATATTCTTTAGCAGTTGCGTTTAGAGAATAAGCTTTGTGAATCATGGTGCAGTATATCCAGTTGCCTAGATTACCGTCCCTAAAACAACCGGTAATGACGCCAATACGTCAGAAAAAGAAACGGGGAATATTATTATCGAAGTATCATTATTATTAACCGAAAATAAGGTAGCACATCTAACCGCTGAAATGACCGGACAATAAGTTTCCACTTGGACACGTAACCAACAACAACCCCGCTCATCCCGTATGTATGTGATTCATGCATTCCTGCCATATCCTTGACTGACCACATCGAACTTCACCTAATTAGTCAAAAGACTAAAACGACTCAGAGAAAACGCTACACAGTCCTAACGAAAAGCGTGCATAATTATTGATAAAAAGCAGGGAAGATTGGTCAGTTAAACGGTCTTCTACATCTCGTGAAGTGGTCCAAGATATCAGTAGTTGTTCACAAATTGTGCAATCAACACCATAGTAGCTGGTATAAACTGAGCAAGCATAGTTGACTTTTGCAAACAACTTGATTAATGGCGTGGAACGTGAGCTGTTTTGTTGTCACGTTGGGTTGTTTCGCATATGAAACAAGACAAACGAATCTACAAGACAAATCGCCACTCACAATGAAGCACAGAATAAACAGTTACTGCGCAATCTAACGGCGTTTAGGGTATTATGCGCAAACAACCTAGAAAATCATAGCCAATCGTTAAAATGTAGACAAATCGAGAAGCGAAACCGCTAGGATTAGGAAAGCTGCACACTTAACATTCTCTCAGTCACTCTTATAGGTCTCTCACAAAAGCCATCTACGCACAACAGGGAACCAAGGTTACTGCGACTAACATTTATCAACACGCGGGATCTGGAAAGTAATCTTAGCAAGCCACAAGTTAATAAAATCAGCTTTCAATGTCCACATTTGCCAAAAAAGACATGGGTAGAATGAAAGAAGCGGAAATCTGATCCGATTGCATGACATCAAAATAAGACGAAGAGAATGGTGCATGTCTTTGGCTTGACAGAATAGAAGTGTGATGACAAATGAACAAAAAACCGACATAAAAGATTGAAGGTATAATGCAAAGCTTAATGTTGCACAAAATTTGGTGACTTTTGAGGCCACGCGCCTCGCTGCCTGCTTATATTATCACGGTAGAGTCGAAAATTTCAAGTTTCCTTGCCTGGGCCTAACATGGTGTCAATGGCGCTGGAATCGCGGTATGACAAAAATAGGTAGACAACTGACGTACGATTAGAACAAACCCCTCGAATGGCACAGACGCCAGGTACATATGAGCCGAATTCTGTTGTTCAGACCTCAGATATGCCGACTATGAAAATACCCATACAAAAAGGCGTTAGCAGCCCGGCATTACCGGTGCCGGTCTAACAGCGGCACGCGCACCTAATTCGTCAGCATATGCCTCCGAACTCTTCTGCGTACGATGAGGATATTTTGGCAAACTCTCTCCAAGGTGTTGCGAAAAATCGCAGTAAGTATAGTGCGATATCTGTGTGAGCTCAACATAATGTGCTTTTAGCATTGTGTTACCTTCTTAGTTTTGTCGCCCGTAGTGTTTAATCATTTAACCTTTTCGTATTGCGGCACATTAGCCGAGGTGTGTTACTCACCCCCGGCTAAAGTGCACTGCTGATGCGGATGATATTTCTATGTACTTGCAGTAATACCATTCAAAGCAAACCTTATCGAATGCAGGGATAGTGGTTTATAGCAAGGTTAATCGACCAAGCGAACACTTCGGGATTTAATCCTGACAAAAGAGGAGCTGAGCGTCCAGTCAATTTCGCAGGTCCATCCACTGCTAACAAGCGCTAAATCATAACTTTTGGCTATGTGCTACGAAAGTTACTAATAGAAGACGAGCAACTCGACGCACTATTACCGACCACTCCAAGCTTTACAACCCAGCGCTGTAAAGTTTATCTAACGACGCATAGCACGAACAAAAGGGCAAATGCAGCAGGGCAACTCAATCAGCTCAAAAACGGTGGTAATACGAAGATCGCCCAGGACTAACATCTAGACTTGAAACAAAAGGCCGAAATGGATGGAGGAAAGAGGTAAATTTTGTAGGCATCAGGCACAAAATCCATGCGGTATCATAGTGAAAGGCCACAAAGCAGTCGGAAATTGCTACACGTCCCTCACTACACGCAATAAGTACGAACGACCGGTGGCTATGGCACTTAAGCCTACAAGTAATACAAAATTGGTTTACAAGTAGGTGAATTTTCATAGATGAGTTAGGGTAGAAATACCACCATTGAAGACGTATAGTGGCCCTACGATCACCGCTGTAACTGTTACGAATGCTCTACCCCTACAGTTTGGCTACAAAACCATTGGATACTTTTCTCTCTCCCTCAGCAAATTTCATCGGTTTTTCAATGTCACCTTTACCCAAGCAGCGGTTATAAGCAAATTGCAGACCCATCAAGAAAACAGTGGTCCAGTTATTGACAATATTTGTCCAAAGGTTCTCAAAACCCTTGCTTCCATCTTAGCGGTGCCACATGCTGTTTTTCAGGGTCCTATTGAATCCTATGCACTCCCAGCTGGGTGGAAAAATGCAATCATCACCCCAATATACAAGGAGGTAAGCGATCGGATCTGTGAACTATAGACTGCTGCTGCTCTCCGTGGTTACTAAAAGATTGTGGAGTCGTTACCTACAGAAAAACCGACGCGGTATCTTAATGGTCTGTAGATCATTCCCAAACTTTAACATGGTTTCAGATGCAGACGATGTTGCTCACCAAACTGCTTTCGACTCCTGACTCAAGAACGAGGAGGTGTCTTTCTTACACTTTTCCAAGGCATTTGACATCGCCAATCACACAGTTCTCATCTCCAAGCTTGCTGACTACAAAATAGCCAGATCCCTGCTAATCTGTTCGAAAGTTACTTACACGGTAAAACAACCACAGTAAGTTTGGAGGGTCAGTTCCAAGTACACCTTGTGTGGGTGGATTACAACGTGCAACCACAATGTGGACCTTGGTTAAATGGATCATTGGGACCGTACCTGATGAGACAGGCGGATACTGGGTGCTGCCCGCCGGAAAACCCTATACTCCATGACGCGTTTCAACCTTATTTGACCTCAATAATGTGGTATGTAGTTCCATTGCTAATTGTTGCTCTTTTAAAATTGGCTGTGTTCATAATAATGTAAGCAGATTAATCTCATCTACGGAACAATCTGCAATACATCCACGGCATTATGCATAGTGCACAGACGCACCATACACTGTAAGTGACACAGAGTTCCGATCACCCAACTGATATTTTATATCTATGAGAATACTTTAGTATGGAAAGTGTAAGGCGGAGCAGATTGAGAGAATCTAGCTGCTTATGAGCTGTTAACTCCGCGGTTGTATAAGCCGGCACCCATCATGACAAATTCAAAGAATGCGAGGTAACGGAGTGAATCAGACTGCGTATAATAGATAGCGGCTGTGTCGCACGTACCAACGACAATTGAATACATACATTATAAACATTCAACCGTGCTAAGTTTGGAAATCCTGCAAAAAATTGTTGAAGATAAATTGAGTAATACCTGAGGCAGTGGAGAAGTGGTGTTTACAAAACGGCTCACAGGCCTCGTGGTCAAATTGGTTAATACTACTGAAAAGAGCGGTAACTAAAACAAACATATAGCTGTTTGAACCAGCGAAACTCGAAATTTAATTAATTGATATAAAAGGTGAGTCTGGCGCATTTCCGTGTGTGCTATCAGGAGTGCTAACGAAAACGCAACCAGAAGACCTTTGAAATGGATATGCAGTAACACTAGCGGCTTTCCAGACTACTTGTTCTAGTTTCATCGAGCATTTTAGTAACGTAAGTCAGGCGTTTCGATCTGTGGTGTGGGTCACAACTACGCAAATTGCTTTTAACCGAAGTACAATGCATTGCCTGGTCGAACACAAATCATATAGATGTATATTTAACTATGAATATATAATCAGGGCATCTCAGATAGCAACAACAACTAAAGATCTGTCTGGTAATTGTCGATAAGAAGGGTGAATACAGCTTTGGAATAGGTGCAGTCATGTTTGTATATGCAACCTTTGTCTTTATGGGTAGCTGAAACAGGTTGGAATAGGTAGAAATATTAATCTAACGCAATGGTATAGAGGAGCTAGATCAGCCGCATTGAAATCAGTTCCGTGTCAATCAGTGCTACTACTGAAAGCGTGAGCAATTAACATATCTGGGTCACGTGATGTCTGACAACACGTAGGTTTTTGTAATTTAACACCCTTACCATATAACCAGATAACTGGCACTAGTCGCTTCGTGGACGAACATTAAGTACCACAACCCCCAGTAAATGAATGCGCACCAATTTAAATGGTCTCAAGCCGACTAGTTGTGGATGTAATGTATAAAATCAAAGACATTCGTAAGTCACGACACAATCGACGTGGAGTCCAACGTAGTGCACCACTGAATTTGATATCTACGGATTTAAAACATCTGACTGTATATAAAAATTAGTATAAAACGAGGCCTACGTAGCTAAATGAATTAACTCACCATTTAGCAAGTCATGTGCGTTTGGGCTGGAATACTGCAAGCTAAACACTTATCCATTTAAACTACAAATGAAATTAACCTACCCATAGCACATAAAAAGCCTTGTAGCATAGCATTTAATTTGACAGCACAAGTTTTTCGTACGAATGATCGTCCTTTAGGCTGGAAAAATGTATCGACGTTTGAACTTACTCATAAATAATATTAACGTATATAGTATTTTTGAAAACGTGCTTTTTATGAAGATAATATCGGTAATCCTACTAAATTTCAAATGTAGCATAACGGAAAGGAAAACACCTTCAGTGGAAACAGGAGCGCCATTAGGTTTGGCATCATGCAACTCGTTCAACCCCATAAATGAGTAAAAAACTGCATTCACCGGGCTTAAGTCGAATAACGACCACACGGTATACGGCTTTGCAACCAACAGCAATGCAAAAGTAAACGCATAAGGGTGCACCATACAAATAACCGGAATGAAAAACTGCGTGCCATGGAGAAATTCAGTTCGACCTATAAACAATACTGCATGTAGTATACCGCTATTGACGAAGATCGCAAAACTGATGCCTAATTTGTATCAAGTCTAATTTAGTACCTGCTAAGACAATGATTTGTGCATTAAACCATTTGCATAAGCTACAAGTATACATGGATGTTAACCGTCAGAAAAGATGAAATTGTGGCTTTATTATCAAACACGGCCCTGTCGTGCCACCTTTCAGGTCGCACGTAGTCCTTGTGAGAAATACACGTTTGATTATTACATAACGTGCAGTGTAACTCAGTAACATCATTCTGTATCCAGCCTTACTTCACTTACTCCAGTAGGTCAATTAGTTGCTAATTTAAACAGTAGCTTAAGCACTGCTGGACTATCGTAACAGACAGTACAGGGCTCGGTATTTTGGCCATGGTTGTTCGCGATCTATGTGAATGACTTGCCCGGGGAGCTAGGATTGTCGTCCCTAATGTTTGCTGACGACCTTAAGCTCTGGGGTGCCGTGGGTATCACGGGGGGTTCTGAGACTATTTAATGTGTTTTGGATGGGTTCTGGAAATGGTCTGCCTTATGGTTGATGACCATAAACCGGGCCAAGTGTTCTGTTCTCCGAATCGGCTCTGCTATTACCCCTACCCGATGTTGCCTGCGGTGGTAAAATTACAGTTTTTACTCAGCAGGTTGTTTTAGATATCGTTTACTCATTAGCTCTTCACATTGACGACGACTGGAAGAAGGATGCTTGTAGAGGGTTCGCTATGATGTGGTTTATTCGCCGCTCTTTCGGTGTACTAACGGTCAGGATGTTTGTAAGTTATTTTCAGCATTCGTGCAACCCCACTTGGAACGTTGTATCCAGGCTTGTCTACTATATATTATCCAAGAAAAAATGAAGTTGGAGGTGTTACGAGTGAATACTAGGTTAGTGCATGGTCCACGGGGACAGATGTATCCCGAGCGCTTCCTTAGTTTCGTGATGTACTCAATGCATTACCAAAGGATAAGGGGACATGTTTCACACTTATCGTATTTTGATGCATAAGATCGGCCCGGAATTCTTTTGGCTAGTTAGTCCCGCTAAGTTGCCTAATATCCGCGGTCACCCAATGAAGTTGCACAAACCACGATCTGATCGTATTAGCACGGAAACTCATCTGTTGCGCAGTTACAGAGCGCCGGAATTAGCTTCCAGATCATGTGTCTAGATAATCTCCGGTTAAGGGTTTTACACCTCAGCTCGATATTCTTGGAGAGCAAAACCAAACCTTTCCTTTTTCCCACCCGGCTCATCTCCAGCCTGCAGTTCTTTGGCTAATGAAACAAATACTTTAGTGTTATACTTGTTTAGCTCATTTCCTCTTCTTCCCCTGATTTTACTGTTTCCTCTTTATTAATTCACGTAACCGGCTTAGCCGGGACTGTTAGGGCAGGAACTTTCACTATCCGTCGAAACGAACTGTGCACTAAGATTTACACAGGTTTATCATTTCCTCTGAATAAGTAACCATGATAGTTTAACTACGCATAATGCGAACACCAAAAGGTTTGGATGAAAGCAACAGTCGTATTGCTTTCCGTTTACTCACCTCACCATGAACCAAATCCAAACGTCTTTCGGCCAGTTCCGCAAGAAGTGAACGGTGAGGCTGCGTATGCCTTGCAGAGGAACAGGATGAAGAAGTGTTAGACGCATGGTCGCTCTGATTCGATAGTGCCTGTATGTGTTCATGTAGTGTATTGACTTTTTCTTGCAAATGGGCGATCTCAGTATCTTGGGATTGGATCTGCGGAGATAGTTACAGTTTTAATCAAAACCAACTGCAGTAATTTGCTCTTGATTTTTTCGCTTTAATTCTGTAATGTAATCTTCACATCCAATCAGGGAACGTAGCAATTCTTCCTTATCTTGGCTAAGTTCCCGTAGCTGGGATTCAAGTTGCATTTTCTCAGATCGTAACTGGGTTATCTAGGAAAACTGGTAACAAACAACAGCTTAAATTACTTCTCTCCTTAAAATTTCCAGCTGCTGGAAGTTTTCATGGATAGTGCTTTTACGACTGTTACACTGTGAACGTAGAGATTGTATTTCGTGTTTCAGCTGGGCCTCATTTTTACAAGCTGCAGCAAGCCGCTTTGACATAGACTTATTCCGGTGAGCTAGCTGCGTAATGGTTGAAAGGCGTTCTCCCTCGATCTTTTCGTACATTTCCTTTTGTTTTCGAATATCGACTCGCATGGATACTATACTATTTTGTAATTCTTTTATCTGCATTTCGTAATCCATTTCAACAGAGGACAATCGTATCAGTAAAAGCTCCCTTTCTTTCTCAAGGTCCTGAACAATTGATCAAGCATTTGCGGCATCTTACATGAATGTGTTGCCGAAAAGAATTAAGAGTCTCATCCTGCTCGAGACACAGCCGAGCATCGCCATGCTGGGCGTCGCGCGCAAGCTCGCCTTCAACGGCCAGTTCAAATCTGCCATTGTGTATCTCATAAATTGCACTGTTGTGGGTTTCCTCCGCGTCGGTGTCGTTGCAACGTAGGCTTTTGTCCTTCATCAAAGCTTGTCAACAGTCGGTCCAACGATAGCTACATAAGGGAGCACAGACGGCTGCGATTAGCATTTTAGGACCAAGCAATAAGCGTCAACCACAAATGATTTAGAAAGGAGATTGCGGTGCATATAGTGACGACAGCTGTGCATCATGACTGCGTTAAGCAAAAAGAGATTTTTGTTTAATATACGTTGTAACGCTTTACTTAAACACAAAATTTTTGGAGACAAACTGTTCTTTTATTATGTGCGCTACAAATTAGTAGTAGTTCATTACAGCAAGCAAATATATGCATGATATATGTATAGATACATATATATTTAACGAATATATAACTATTACTGTTTAAGTATCGTAAGAATCTCAATGTTAGGCATCAGGTCTTGGATGTGTGTATTTACTACAAGTGAACATTTTGTTACCGAAATGGTTACGTGCGGGCTAAGTGATGTATACAACGAATGTCGAACTTTGTAATGAATTCCTGTAGGATGTCCCATGTCACCGATTGCCAACGCGAACTCCATTCCCCCCTACTGTGTGTCCTTTAGCTTCTAATTTTACCTTAAGGTCACAACTGAGAGTTCATACATATGTAGACAATGCAATATCCTAATCTACAAAACATTTAATAAACTTCAGGTTTATGGTTATTAACACGCAAAGAATATAAAGTTTTACTTTTTGCACACATTTCATCGGAGCATTTAGCTTTTTTATTTTGTTAAGTGACGAACAAATCCTTCGCCTTACGAGAGTCCCTTTTTGTGTGCCGGTACGCAAGCAAAGACCGCAGCAGCGACATTCTGGCTTCACTTTGCAGAGAAATATGTAAGAGTAGCCACCCATAACTTCATAAATATAATCGGGCCATGTTATTGTTAATAATTGGAGTCCACTAATTTCATTATAAATCAACAAGTAAATGGTTTATTCTCAAACTCATAGAGACACACCAACTCAGGCACGGTCAAGTTCTGGATACAGAGTGCACTAACTCATATTTCGCATTTCCGTTATCACCAACTGTTTTGTTGAGTTCCGTGCTAACCCCTTCCTCGCTCTTGTTTATCTGTTCTTTACTTTTGTCGCCAGCGCAATACCGTTGTTTTCAGTTGACTTCCATTTCTATGCTGTCCTGTATTTGACATACACCTTTCATGTTATGGCTTATTGCCTAATATCCTTGTCGCCGTCCAACAGTTGGCGACCCGGTCCAGAATGTGTCACCCGGCATTTGGCATTTTCGTTCTAGTGACCTCTTTCCAGTCCTAGACGTTTGCAAGCAGTTCACTGCTGCCATATGTCATGTCTCAGACGTCGACAAGAACGTCGCCTACATAATCTCACGCGTCAACCACAACCTGCATTCTTTGCCTAACGTGGATCTTGCAGTCATTATATCGGCTAAGGTTGAAGATGAAGACTGACAACACTCTTTGTAGTCATCTTCAATTTAGGTGGAACCACTTCCTCTCCAAACAACCGAAGGAAACCTCCTGTGGCACTTCTACAGGTTGTTCTATACCCCTCCTTCCTGCCTCGTTCAGACGTAAACACTAGTCTGGCCTCTCTAGCTTGTTTTTTGGCATCCGCTAGGCGACTATGTATACTGACTAATGTCTGGCCCTTCCCCTGGTAATACCTCTTCCCTTGCTTTGATTGTTGCTCTTCCTCTGTTTTTCCCTAAAGCTATTTCAATCCGATGATGCGCTTATTTATTTGAGCTACTTAACTAACTCTCTCCCCACCTGGCTTGCTCGTTGTATGCCTGATTCGTTTGTCTCGCATTGCTTCACATATCTTTGTTGTTCTCTTGCATCGTTTATACCATTGAGCATTAAAAGCCTGGTAAACGGCGGCACACGGCTGGTAATTTTTCTAAACTTAACTAGGCTACGCCACTTGCAACCACCTTACGAACCTCAATCATCCGGAGCATATGCCAACCTGCCTTATTACGCTGTTCTTCATCTTGCCGCACCCTGACTTTCCGAATACATACGTGCCGTCTTAGATACGCGGACTAACGGCTCATACCTCCCAACTTTCGTCTTCCTTCCCCCTATTTGTATTCACCTGGTGATTGTCGCGTTTTGTGTCCTGAAGCTCTGCTTGCGTCCTCAAATGTCACCCTCACTTCTGCAGAGCTGCTTTGTCCCGTCTTCTTGTATAATCCACTCTATTCAGAGCTGTCTCGCCTGTTTTCTGACAGCTGCTAGGCGACTGTGGTATACTGACTAATATTTGGCCCTTCCACTGATCTTTCCTCTTCCCCTCCTTTGATTGTGCCTCCTACTCACTTTTACCCTAAAGCCATTCCAATCCGACGATAGGCCTTGTCCGTTGAGGCATTTAGCGTACTCTGGCCTGATCCAGATTACTTGTAGTTTGCCTGCTGCCTTCCTCCCGCATTGCGTCATCCAACTTTGCTGTTTCTATACCTCACTTAGACCATTAAGGCTTAAAAGCCCGGTATACACCCGACTTACCCGTGGTTAATTTACCCTTTACCTGGATAAGCTACTTCACGCTGCCTTTCCACGCCGTACCATCTTGAACTTACGCAAACCTACCTGATTATTCTGTCCGCGATCCCGTCACACCTGCTATATGAAGCGCTGCGTGCAGCCTTGTATTAGCTCAGTATGAACAGCTTCTACTACCTGTTGACTGTGCTGAGAACGTTGAGAGCTATGCCCTGCTCGGTCCCCAGCCACCTGACACCCCACAGCGACCTATCTAATGACGGATGCTTCTACTAAGTTCTTTGGTGCTGACTGTGGTTATCAAAGCTCTGCTTAAATCCTAATTCCCTCACTTCAACCTTGATAGGGAACTTGCCGTAGCTTCATATCTCTTTGCTATAGACAACAAACCCTTGAAAGCCTAATTTCGAAGTAACTATTATATATAAGTTTATCCCATTTCCTAGCTTCCCTGGTTAGCGTTTCGTTTCATTATCACTTGCCAAGGCTTAATTTTTGTCCTTAACCGTCCGCTCATTCCTGCTTCTAGTTGCAAAGCAATCTTCGTCACATAGATTCTCTACAGGGTTGCAGGACACAAAATACAGAATACGATTGCTCCTCATGTTGTACCCTATTGGACGTTTACATTCACAACCCATGATGTCACAGGTTTCCTTGGTGTCTCCGCTGCTCGCCTTTTCTTTTCGCTTCTCTTTCTCGAGGTCTGAAGCTATCAACAGATACTTACCAATGATTCCACCTGGTCTGCTGGCTGTGACCGCATGAATCTGAAAAGCTAAAAGTGGATCATATCAGACCTCCAACACACTCACGCCCTTCCTGGCCTACTGGCAATGGTCAATTGGATCTGGACGCGCTTATCCAGGGGATTGGATCAGCCATGTTTTGCCTATAACAAAAGCATTCAAAACAACTGATTCACACAGCATACCTGACTTGCCGTCCCGCCTATTTAGCGTCCAAACACTCGCTTAGGAATTGTCAGCAACCTTAGGCTACTCAAAGGACAATGAAATTATGTGTTTTCTGTGTCACCAGCTGAGATTTTGGCGTCCACCCTGACGGCCCACCGATGCGCTTCAGTCCCGTCGATCATCCTAACTAAACTGTTACAATAGCCTGGATTTAGCAAACTCTGCTACACAACCCAAATTGGAAGCTAGTGTTCAAGCATGTACTACTATTCACATCCATCCTAACTAGCTCCCCACTGACAGCTCCATAGAAAGATTTCACCCGCCCTCCTTCCAAGAAAACTCTTGTAATGCACCTGAAAGCACGCTTCTCAGCATTTTGCAACCTTTGAGTTTAAATAAATAAATAAATAAATAAACTTTTATTCTCGACCATGCGAGACACACCTTTACAGGCATGATCATGTTTAGCTAACAGTGTGATCAAAAATGTACAAAAGTACATGTTTGGCATAACAGCGTATGTAAGTGTATGGGTGTATATACGTATGTAATTGTGTATGAACGAAGTTTGTGTCTTTGATTGTGCCGCAGCATTTTGGAGTGTTTGTTATCGTCAGGAAAGTGAGCATGAGCGATTGATGTCCTTGGGTTGGATAGCACTTTCCGGATATCCGCGGGCTAGTGACTTTATTTTGTGGCGAGTCACATCCGCCACGTCGCAGTGTTAGTAAGCAGACATTTGTGGCTTTTTATAGGGAGAAAGCTTGCCAGGCGAAAACCCACCACGTCCTGGAACACTGCCGCCGAACTATCTGCTGGAACGGGTTAAACCCGAACCACCCAGCTGGCACCACGAGGAGGTTGTTCGGCTAACCAGCCGAAACAGCTGTTTCACCGATGGCAGTTCCGTGTAGCTACTTTCCGCTTTCATATTTATTCGCCTCCCACATTTGAACAATGAACAATGAATTTATACGGGTTAAGAAGCTTTGCTTTACAAGTCCCGTTGGATAGTTGGCGAGGATATCAACATAACAATAATGATGCTAAGGATAGTAAAATAGATAATACTTTAAATACGAAAATAAGGACTTTTCATTTGCCGCTGCAATCCTGCGATCCTCTTAGATTCACAGCACCCACAGTTAACAACAAATAATTCCATAGTAAACACCAAGTGTAGGATGGAGACGTAGTGTTAAGTAACAAAGTGTAAGTGGATGAGTGCATCGTCCAAACGTTTTTTAAATATTGTTAGTGTGGGTGCAGAGACGACCGATTCTGAGAAAGCATTCCACGGATGGAAAAGAAATTTCTGCTGCACTCCAGACGACTGTATTGTTCTGCGAGTTTTAATGTGTGGCCCCTCAGGTTTGTATTACTGCTGAGTTGCAGTAAAGGGCGGCACGCATGATGTGGGTCTCTCAGAATCAAGTATGCCATAATCAGGTCGCCTCATAATCTGCGATAGCATCCACTGAACAACCTCAGTCGTTGCAGCCTCTCCTGGTAGGAAAGATTGCGCATTCCAATCACGTTCTTAGATGCCCGGCGTTGTGGCTGCTCCAGTGCATTAAGGTCGTGTTTCAGCCATGGATGCCAGGCTTGAATTG